GGGTGGTAAGTAACTACACTTATGGCGAGCATTTCAAAATGTATATAATTGTTGGATCACTAGATTCAACACCTAAAACTCATATAATATTGTATGTCAACTATACTTTAAAAATAAAAATTTTAAGAAGAAAGTCAATTAAGCTACAAACTCCACCCCAACAGCTGAACAACCCAATGTGATTTCTGACTTTAATAATTACCGGACACCCCTGACCTATCATTTTTTATGAACTCAGGGAAGGCCTGAGCCAACGTAGGGGAAGGGAACTTTCCCAAGTGCACCCATCTGCCAATGCCTTTTTCGAGGAGTGTCACTTCCTGGGTACATCTTCATCACCATCTTCATATTTATTACTCGGAATTTGGAAATATCCTCAGATGTCTATCCAACTTCCTTAGTCAAATGGGGGGGGAGGAAGGCAAAAAAAAAAATCTTGGAAATGAAACCCACTTTTTTCTTCTGAATGCAAGAATCTAACTGCTCATTTATATCTCTGAGTGGTTTTGTTTTATTTATGTCACAGTTTGAAGAACTCACTGGGTCCCATTATTGCTCTGTGTACTGAAGCGGTCGGATTGCGTTCTCCTTATTCAGGCCTGGTTATTTGATTTTTTTGACGACGCTTAATATGAAAAGTCATAAACCTCCATGCAGTAGAGCCTTAGAACCATACATATCTGGGCAGGTGGTGGGTGTGAGGACGAAACTCTGTGTCCCATTGTTCAGCCACCAGACTAACACTGAGAGAAGACATGTCACAGGATTGAACCTGCACATGATGGAAGTATTCAAACAAGCTTTAAAAAATATTATGTGGTTTTAAAAATGTTTTGGTCACAGATCAAATGTCAGTGCTAAGGGCAGTGTTTATAGAGTACTGCTGCTCTGTGTGATACGCCCCCGCCCCCTTCATAGAAGTGCCTGCCTATTTGTACCAGAAGACACTTTTTTTTTTTTTTTTTTAGGAACCCATTATTTGGGGGATACTTTTATAGAAGCAGCAAGTCCAGTTAGAAACTTCCAGTATCTCGTGCCGCTTCTGCTTTCTCACCATCTCCACTGGCATCTTCTCAGACCAAGCCACCAACTGACTTTTTTCCCCAGGTTCTAGCGATGTCCCCACTGGTCTCTGCAGATGCACAGACTCCCCTCCATCCATTCTCCGTGGGGCTGCTAGTTATTCAGTTCATACTTCCTCCTGCATGAAACTCTGAAATGCTTTCCCGTTTTTTTGTTTGTTTGTTTTAAAATCGGGTAGGGGTTTGATCAGGGAAAGAAAACAGCTATAGGTGAAATGGAACAAGGATTTATTACAGAGATTCGAACTTAAACGCAGTTCTTGGGGAGGTGAACTGAAAATCAATTCACCCAATATCAACCTGCCAGTTTGACCCCTGCATCTAAAATTGCAAAGCAGGTACGTACCTTCAGCCAGGTCCAGGCCCAGGTGTGGGAGAGGCAGGGGCAGGAAAAGGGCTTGAGTCTACAAAATCCTGGAGGACAGTCATTTGAATGTAAAATTTTCAGAAGTCCTATCCTCTGAAATGAGAAGTGTAACCAAAATGGATATTCAACTCAGGGGGACAGAAAAATCTTAAGCATAATGGCCTGAGTGAAATAACTGGCAAAATCTTGGGGAAACAAAGTGAAAATTGCCCTCCAAACTACCCACCCACCACCAAATCTCCAACAGTCTGGCAAATTTATAAAAGTTAATTGATGCGTGTATTTTCAAAAATGACACATCCTACGTATTGTCTCTGGTTTCCAGCTCAACCATATAGTACTGGTTTTCTTCTCTCTCTTTTTTTTCTTTGAAGTTTGTGATCTTTTCTGATTCCACATCCATTGGGGTTCGAAGCATTGTTTCCTTTGACCAGGCTTATACTGGTAATTGCAGACTAGCCTCGGTGTCTCTGACTGCTCGGATTTCACATTTGAAGTACAACAGAGCTTTTGGCAACTGCGTTTATAGCTCCTCTGTCGCTTTTCCCACTCCCTTCCATGGCAGGTGTGTGCAGTGCGGAAGCTTCCCGTGGATGCCTGCAAAATGCCGGAAGCCTGCTTTTTTCCGTGCGGGTCGCCCCTGTCTGTACCCTGGCCGCTCTCGGTGTCCATTCCCCTCCCCCACACTGTGAACTCTTCACTCCTTGGTGGAAGCCAATGGTAGCCCCTTGCCTGCACCTTGGAAAGAGAATAGCTTTCAGGCTGAATGTGGGTGGAAGAGCCCTACAGAAACAGCACGTAACTAGGCAGAAACCAGGAGCGCTGTATACAGACTCTGTCTGAGCAAAGAAAACACTCCATCCTAGAGCAACGTCAGCTATGGTTTTTTCTTTCATCCTTTAAGTATGGGTTACCTTGTTTGTGATCATAGGAAACAGCAACTCCTTCTGCCTCAGGAATTTCCCAGGAGAGATGACATTTCTTAAGTGGTTTTTTTTTGTTTTTTCACAGATTCACATGTGGTGAGTTTGAAACTTACTAACACTGCTATTTCAAATCTGTATCAATTAACTATGCAGTTTGGTGCTTTTCTAGTAAAATGGCTAGTGTTGTTGCTTTTTTTTTTCCTTTTTTAAAAATTGAAGCCTATGGGGTGCCTGGTGGCTCAGTGGGTTAAGCCTCTGCCTTTGGCTCAGGTCATGATCTCAGGGTCCTGGAATAGAGCTCTGCATTGGGCTCTCTGCTCAGCAGGGAGCCTGCTTCCTCCTCTCTCTCTCTGCCTGCCTCTGCCTACTTGTGATCTCTGTCTGTCAAATAAGTAAATAATATCTTAAAAAAAATAAACACAAATAAATAAAAAATAAAAAAATTGAAGCCTAGTTGACATGCAACGATAGTGATAGCATTTTATCAGTTTATCCAAGTTCCTTGGCCCCATCGGCCAAAAGGAAGGAAAGAACAAATGAACCCATATGGAAGATTGAATCGATCATGGATGGAACTGTGATTTTTGTCAACAGAAAGAACTAGTGACCTATCCCTTGCTCTCAGTAACAGGGAATAAAGCATCGAACGGTGTGGTCCTAGACATTGTCAAGGAAAATCATTGCCCCGTGCAGTAACTGGCAGGCGCACAGTGACTCTAAACAGACACCAGCTTCTGTCACATGTGAATTATTTAAATGATGGAAGCTTGGCTTGCAGAAGAGCACTACCAACCAAAAACTAATGGCCACGCTAGCCACAAGTCCTACAGTTGTCTGTCAAACAGTCGGAACCAATTATTTACACATTCTAGGCCAATATATATCCCACTCCTCAGTTCCAGATAATTGCGGATAAAAGCTGCTTTAGCCTCCGAGCTCCTTTTTCGCCATCCCTGGTCTCTTTTCACCTTGTCTCTTGAACGTACCACTGTGCATCATCCTCTGCCTGTCCTCCCCGAAATGATCTCCTCTCTACCCAAACGCTTCCTCTGAAAAAAAATCATCTAGTGAATACACAGTAGTTCCTCCTGCTAGCAGAACAGAGCTGTCATTTGTTAACCACGGGCTGTGTGCTAGACCTGTGGTAGCTTTGATACTTGGGAGCTCATTTCATTGAATTCCTTTGACCTTAGGAAATGTGCTTTGTTATTCTAATTTACAGAGAAGAAAACAGAGGCTCCGAAGGTCAGGGCTTTCAGAATGTCTTTTTAACGAACAGCTTGAAAGCTTTGGAGGCATTTTGTATTACCTGGTTCCCAGTCAATTTGTCACCGCCCTCCGAATGTATGCGGCCGGCACTCCGTGTAGACCACTGTTTCTGGCAGGGGTTCCGCTCTTGGCCACGAAGGTGTTTGTCTTCACACTTTCAGTCGCGCCTTCTTCTTTCCAAGAGAATCCCTTCATTTAGGAAACATACGGACGCATGAAAGCTCCGGAACTGGGATTCTTGTTGTCAGTGATGGAAACTTGGTGACTACTTAGTTTGTATTGCAAATGAAAATAAACAGGAAAAATAGAGAGGTTTTTTACTCTTTGGAAGCAGCAATTTTCCGTTTCAATCAGAGTCACTTTCATTATAACAAAGGATTTTTGCTTTTTTAAAGATTTATTTATTTGAGAAAGAGCGTGTGTACATAGGTGGGGCAGGGGCAGAGGGAGAGAGAGAATCATCAGGCAGACTCGCCACTAAGCACGGACCCCTTCACCTCTGACACGGGGCTCAATCCCAGGACCCCGAGATCATGACTTGAGCGGAAACTCATAGTCGGACGCTTAACCGACTGCACCACTCAGGAGCCTCGGAATTTTTGCTTTTAATGATTTTCGAAGTATTTCTGACTATGTGCGCTAGACCAAAGAAAACATCTACAGCAAGGAAAGTCTTTATTCTTGTTTTTTTATTAGTAAACCTGGGCGTGCCCCCTCCCAGTTGTTTTTTGGGGGGAATAACCTGTTAAATCATCAAGGTCAGAGATTTTTGTCCTACGTATTTAAATCTGCAATTTCTGACACATGATGGACCTTTCAACAGAAGTTTGTTCGCCTGGATAGTGAATGAGTAATGGAACGATCAATAGCCTCAGTCTATTTAATTTATTTGAAAAGCAACAAATGAAAAATTTCTGATACAAGGCTGGTTTTGACCTAAGTTATTGATTATGAGTTTGTTTGTTTTTTTTTAATGGAGATTATTGTTGAATTAACCAAGGAAGTACAGCCGTGACTAATGAGATAAAATTAAGCGAAAGGAAACTGGGAACTGAATACCAAGAAATATTTTCAGTAGATGAGGCTGGGATTAAATCAGGTGAAGGAGTCCCAGTGGAAGTGGCCGGGGACATTTAACACCATGCGTGTCACTGAAGGCTGCAGTGAACTTCAACAATTTACTAGAGAGTAACTCTGGCTTTGGCAGGATGATAAGTGGGATCATATCTCTAGTTCCATTGATTCTCTTTCTTACACAGGTATCTGTTCGCAGCCTCCCCTCCCCAGTGGACAAAATTTATGTGTGTGTTACATTTTCTGATTATAGTTTTCTTTTCTTTTTCTTTTTTTTTCCAGAAAACACTCTTTTTAGAGCCTCTTACTGGTATCACCAGAAATGTCTTCCTTAAGTGGGAAAGTCCAGACGGTGTTGGGCCCCATGGAGCCCAGCAAACTGGGCCGTACCCTGACTCATGAACATCTGACGATGACCTTTGACTGCTGTTACTACCCGCCTCCTCTGTGTCATGAAGCCACATCTCAGGAACCTATTATGATGAAAAACTTATTCTGGATTCAAAAAAACCCTTATTCCCATAAAGAGAATCTTCGGCTGAATCAGGAGATGGAAGCCGTAAGGGAAGAACTGTTGTATTTTAAAGCCAAAGGCGGAGGGGCTGTGGTGGAGAACACGACCGTTGGGATTAGCCGAGACATGAAGGCTCTGAGATGGTTTACGGAAGAGACAGGCGTCCACATCATAGCTGGAGCTGGGTTTTACGTGGAGGCAACTCACTCCCCGGAGACCAGAGCCATGTCGGTAGAGCAGGTGAGAAGTCCCAAAGACGTGGGCAATACTTGCGTGTCAATTCAGAAAGGCCAGAACCTCAGACACTGGATTTTCCCTCTGTCATCCCCACCAAGGAATGTCACTGACTCAGAGGTAGCATGTTACAGAAATGTGCTAGCTAGCAAAGACATCTGCCAGTGGAGACCCAAATTGGGAACATTTCATCTCCTAAAGAAAAAAGCATCAAGGGAGGAGAGCTTAACCCTCTAGTCACTGAAAAACCCCGAGTGTTAACATTCAGGGATATCTGGTATCCCTGCTCTGTAGTGGTACCACAGCCTATTTGTAAACCTCATTTTCCCATTATAAACTTCAGTTACATAACCCCGATTTCCTTTCTGGATTTTATCATAACCAGCAATAAAAATTCACGGTAGGGTGAAATTTGGCAGGCAGAGACTTGGCACATGGGCGAGTAATGTTTCCTTCTTTTACAAAACAGGAAGGGTGGAAGAAAATCCATTCCTGGTTTTGTTATCATAGGATCTTAAGCAAGAATGGGCAGAAGGAAAGAAAGCTTCCAGAGAGAAACAGAAAGAATTAGCCACGAAGCTTCTTTGCATATATATGTGCTCCCTTTCTGAATATGCCTGGATGTGTTTATACATGTTTATACCTATTGTCTGTATGTGTATATGTCTTCCCTTGCCTGCTTGCTAGGCAAAGAATGTCAGTTGCAGTCTTCGCAATGATTCAGTTAATCGTTAAAATCTTTGTATTGCAAAACTTTATCTGTATCATTTTCCAGTTGGATATTTACCTTTTTATATGCTTATATTGTTTGAAGACTACCCCGAAGTCAGCATTATACCTTCTTCCAACCACTCTTAGTAGTAATATACCTATGAATCAAAAAATGCCGTAGGAGTATTGTGTGCTGTGAATCTTTTGTGCTGCGTGGGATTAAGGACCGCATACATTAGGGAGATTTAAAGGATTAGTTGATATAGTTGACGTAGTTCAAGGGCAGTCTTTTTATGTTCTAGATGTTTCTCAGCTTAAATTATAGATTTTTTTTTTCTCATCTGAATGTCTTTTCAAGAAGTCACATTTTTCCCCCATAGCTTCCTAAAGCCACAGATTTCTCATCAAATAATCACAGTAAGATAATATTGAATCTTTGATTTAGAATAACTTGCTGAACTTGAGATTTGGCCTTTCTCATGGACCCATATTAATTGAATGGACGGCAGATACATTTTTAAAAGAATGAATGACCAAATGAATAAATCCATTCACCTACTGTGGTGACTCTGGGTTGATCAATTCCATAGTCTCTAAAATATTTTCTTTCCTGCTCTTCCTTAGCTTACTGATGTCCTCGTTAATGAAATTCTCCATGGAGCTGATGGAACTAGTATCAAGTGTGGCGTCATTGGAGAAATTGGCTGCTCCTGGCCTCTGGCTGAGAGCGAAAGGAAGGTTCTTCAAGCAACAGCTCATGCTCAGGCTCAGCTAGGCTGTCCTGTTATTATTCATCCTGGAAGGAATCCAAGTGCACCATTTCAGATTATCCGAGTATTGCAAGAAGCCGGTGTAGACATCTCCAAAACGGTTATGTCTCACATCGATAGGTAAGCAGACTCTCTCCAAATGAGTCCAAGTCACCAGATGATAATGGGTGGTCAAATAAATAATATCATCAGATTAGTGGAATACTAATCACCTACAGAAAACCACTAACCACCTGGATGAGAGTATCTTACAGTAGACATTAGTAAAATTCAATGCTGCCAGCTCTGTGTCCTGACTCTGGGCTGTTGGTGTTCTAGGTATTTTGTGTAAATCATTTCTTTTCATTTACTTAATCCTTCATAACCTTCATAGGAACTGTCCCTGTGTACTTTACTTCTTTGCCTCAAGTTTTGATACCACAGTAGCTGCCAAGTCTACTTGCTCAGTATTTGTCAGTAGTTAAAGTGATAAATTTATCTGCAAATATAAAGGGAAGGGAAAGTGAACGGTTTCACCCTGAGAAGAAAACCACAAATGTAAAGATTCAAATGTGCTGTTGTGACTGGCGGTTTGAGTCATCCGAATTTGGGAAAATGCAATTATAAAACATAATACTGGGGCATAAGCCTGGGTGGCTCAGTCAGTTAAGCATCCTACTCTTGATTTTGGCTCAGGTCATGATCTCAGAGTTGTGCGACTGAGCTGTGCATGGGGCTCCAGGCTCCACGGTGAGCCCGAAGTCTGCTTCAGATTCTCTCTCCCTCTCCCTCTGCTCCTCCCCTCCACTCTCTCTCTCTCAAATAAATAAATCTTAGAAACAAAACAAAACAAAACATAATAGTAATGGGTATATTATTTGGTAGTATTCTTGGTTTCCCATGGCAACTATAACAAAATATAAGAAACTGGGTGACTTAAAACAAGAGATTTCTTATTCACAGCTCTGGAGGCCAGAGCTGCACTTCCTCCAAAGGCTCTAGGATAAAATCCTACCTTCCTTCTTTCATTGTCTGATTGTTCCAAACATTCCTTGGCTTGTGGCTACATAACTTTAATTTCTGCCTCTTTCTTTACATGGTCCCCTCCTGTCTATTTGTGTCTTCTTCTCTTTTGTTTCTTAGAAGGACGTATCGTTAGATTTCGTGTCTACCCAGATAAACCAAAATGATCTCCTTTGAGATCCCTAACTTCATCACAACTGCAAAGACTCTTTTCCCAAACAGGATCACTTTCAGAGGTTCAGAGGGTTAAAACATGAACATATCTTTTTGGAGCCCACCACTCAACCCCCCAACTCATTATATTAGATATGTAGGGGTCCACAAAATAAGTGACTATCTTGTTTGAACAGATGTTGGCGGCAGTTTGTTTCTTGAAGAAACCTAACAGTATTACAAAGGCCAGGCATTAGCCTTTAGATGAAATTGGTTAAGAAATTAACACAGGACAGAGGTGCCTGGGTGGCTCAGTGGGTTAAAGCCTCTGCCTTCAGCTCGGGTCATGATCTCGGCGTCCTGCGATCGAGGCCCGCATCGGGCTCACTGCTCAGCAGGGAGCCTGCCTCTCCCTCTCTCTCTGCCTGCCTCTCTGCCTACTTGTGATCTCTGTCAAATAAATAAATAAAATTAAAAAAAAAGAAATTAACACAGGACAAATGAGACTAATAACACATTACAATTACTAATATCTTGCCTATTGGAGTAAAGCCATATTAACAGACTGGTGGCCCCTCACCGTCACACCTGGCATTCTGCTCTTTGATAAACTAATAGTTCTACAGCGTGCACTGATAATATGCTTCTACTTAGTAGAAATGTTATAAAATCCTGTGCTGAAAAGAAATTAAAAGTTACAATTGTGGCAGAATGGAGGGGGTGATATTAATGGACTGACAGAACATCAAGGTAAAGGCAATTTTCTGGCAACTGGATTGGTATCAAGATCAATACATGGCTGTTTTGAATATCTTCTGGTTGTACTGATAAAGAAGAGGATGGTTCTAGATCCCCATCTTAGAGGTAACGTATCCTAATATGAAGAATAGAATCTCTGGACCCAGAGACTCCTGCTTTTATATCTTGACTCAACCATTTGCTGTAAGATCTAGGGTAAGTTCATATGAATTTAAAATAATGTATTTGATAATGTTACCTTGTATGATTTTGAACATATGTAGCGTCTTTAATCTAGAAGGATGATTTTTTAATATCTTTTAAACAGTGTGAAGTATGGCATGAAAATGAGTAAGATAGTATACATTTTTAAATTTTATAAATATTTCTCGGGTTTTTGAAAACATTGTATTCTGTTGTTATTAGGTTCTCCAGAGGTCTGTTAGGCTACAGTTAGTAACAATGTTCAAATATTCTGTCTTCCTACTGACATTGTGACTGCTCAATCTATTGGTTACAAAAAAAAGAAATATGTTAAAATCTATTATGGTGGATTTTTAAATTTCTCATTGTACATATATCAGGTTTTATATATATATATATATATATATATATAATTTGAAGCTGTGCCTTCATGTGCATATAAAGTTGTTTCACTTTCCTGGCAAATTGAAACTGATTTCAACATATATTGAACTGCTTTATCTCTAGTAATTTGAGTAATGCTTTTCGTTTTTAAGGCTTCTTTATCTGATATTAATGTGACTATCCTGATCTCTCTTTGTTAGTTTTATAAATTAGATACATTTTACACACACCTAGCATGTGGCTGGGTTTTGGGTTTTATCTAGTCTCTTCTCCTATATGAACACTTCAGGTTTTTTTTTACATTGACTACGTTTACTAAAATGTTTGTTCCACTTTTTCTTTTTTTCCTTAAGATTTTATTTATTTATTTATTTGAGAAAGAGAGAGCCACGCACACATGAGTGTATGAGTGGGGGAAGGGCAGAAGCAGAGAATCTCAAGCTGACACCTCACTGAGCATGGAGCTCAAAGCGGAGTTCGCTCTCAGGACCCCAAGATCATGACCTGAGTCAAAACCAAGAGTCGGACACTTAGCTAATTGAGCTATCCAGGTGCCCCCCCCCGCCTTTTTCTTTTTGTCATAGTTAATGTCATCCTTTCTTGATTTCTTTTATTGATTTTTTTCACCTTCTGCACTTTAATACTTTGGAAGGTATCTATGCTATTTCTATCCTCTCAATGGTTATAACAGAAAATGTAACATGGATATTTAACGTGTCAAATTTTAAATATAAGAAATATTTTACCAACCTCCCTGGTAATACAGACTTTAGAATCCTTTGACTTCAATCACTTACCATCTAACTTACATACTTTTTTTTTTTCCAGGATAGGTGTCAATTTTTTTTTAATCCCAGTAATTAGACATTATCTTATTATAATCAAACATTTAAATGGTCAGTGTATATTGAGATTAGCCTTTCTGTTTGCTGTTTTCTTTGCTCGCTATTCCGTCTTCATCTCAGATCTTTATCCTTGAATTTCCTAAAGTACACAATTTGAAGTTCCCTCAGTATGTATCTGTTTTGGTAATAAATAGTATATATGTATCTGAAAATGCCTTGATTCCTTTATTCATAAGAGATAATTAAATGGAATAGGTAATTTATAATAATTAAAATAGACAATTCTACTTAAAAGTTATTTTTCTAAGATATCCCATTTTCAACTGACATATCCACTGACCCTAATTATGCTTCCTTGGAAGTATCCTGCCATTTCTTTCTGTTTTTGACATTTTTGTCTCTGGGAGTCTCTCTCTGCACTATGATCTATCTTAGTGTGAATTTTTTATCGTGTATGCCTGGGATTCCTGGATATGAAGATGTATTTTTCATTTGTTTCTGGATAACTTGAGTGATTGTCTCTTCAAATAGTGCTTCATCTGTATCTTCATGATTATTTTCATCATAAACTCCAGTTTGATATACGTAGGATCTGATTACCTGTCCTGCAGGTCTTTTACCATCTCGTTCATGTTTCCATCCCTTTGCATATTGGACCCATTTTCTGAAAGTTCTATCTTCCTATTTACTACTTCTCTCTCCAGCAAAATAATCTGCTGCCTGCTCTATTAATTTGGTTTATAATATTAAGAACATAAAACTTAAAACCATAGTCCTTCTAAAAAAATTCTATAAATTCTATGTGTTTACTTTTTTAAAAGATTTATTTACTTATTTTGGAGGAGAGCAAGTATGCATGGGGGAAGGGGCAGAGGGAGAGAATCTCAAGCAAACTCCCTCCTGAGCACAGAGCCCCTTATGGAGCTTCATTGCTGCACCCAAGAGATCATGACCTGAGCCTAAATCATGAGTCAGATGTTTAACTGACTAAACCATTCAGACACCTCTCTATTGGTTTACTTTTTTTTTTTTTTTAAGGTTTTACCATTCTTTATTTTGGATATTTAGATTTAAGGTGTTGAAACCTACTTGGTTTTGTGGGAAGGAGGCATAGACTGGCAATGTGTTATGGAAAATCTAGCTCTAACTGACAAGAGGCTCTGTAGTCATGGGCATATACTTTTGATGAGGGTGGGAGTGTCTCTTTTTTTTAGAGAGAGAGAGTGCCAGCAAGAGCTAGCATCAGGGAGAGAGGATGGGGCAGAGAGAGAAGGAGAGAGAGATTCTTTAAACAGGCCCTGCACGCAGAGCATGGAGCCTGACACAGAGCTCAATCCTACAACCGGAAATCAAGAATCGGACACCTAACCGACTGAGCCACCCAGGAGCACCTATTAGTTTACTTTTTAATTCTGTTTGGTGAATTTTTTTTTAAGATTTTATTTATTTATTTGACAGACAGAGATCACAAGTAGGCAGAGAGGCAGGCAGAGAGAGAGAGGAGGAAGCAGGCTCCCTGCTGAGCAGAGAGCCAGATTCGGGACTCGATCCCAGAACCCTGGGATCATGACCTGAGCTGAAGGCAGAGGCTTTAACCCACTGAGCCACCCAGGTGCCCCTGACTGGTGAATTTTGGTAATTTCTTTTTTCCTTCAGTATGTTTTCAATTCAATCTTCAAAAAAAAAAAAAAAATTAAACATATAATATTTACCTTGTGATTGATAAATCTAATTTCTAATGTATTTTTTATAAGATTTATTTATTTATTTATTTGACAGCCAGAGATCACAAGT